AGCCTTTTACTCCAAGTTTACTTTAAAATAGAGATATAACTGCTCAGGTTATCTTTTTTCTTTGGTGAGTTTGATAATTTGTGGCTTTCTAGGAAGTGAGTTGTTTCCTTTAAGTCATCTATGAGCAGAGAGCTGTATGCTTCACTCCCTTATCCTTTTCATTGTGCTGGGGTCTGTACTGGTGGGTCCTTTATCTGTATTGTGATTAAACCCAGGGTTTTGCATACAGTAGGCAGGTGCTGTACCACTGAACTACACCTCCAGTCCTCTTTCATTCTCGATACTGCTAATTTTGTGTTTTCTTTTTTCTTTGCCAGTCTTGCCAAAAATTTATCAATTTCATCGATTATTCGAAAGAACCAGGTTTTTAAATTGATTTTTTTCTATTGTTTTTTCTCTTTTCCATTTCACCGATTGCTGCTATCATTATTTTATCTTTTATTCCACTTGCTTTGGGTTTATTTTGCTCTTTTTTTTCTGGCTTCTTGAGGTAGAAAGCCTAGCTTGTTGATTTGAGACCTTTCTTTCCTAAAGCATTTGATGTATCATTCTCCTCCTGTGCAACCCACAGATTTTGATATACTGGGTTTTCATTTTTGTTTAATTTAAAATGGCTTTGATCCATGGATTGCTGAGAAATGTGTTGCTTAATGTGTAAAGTATTTGGGGATTTTTAGTTTCTTGCCTGATACTTTGAAAGCTTACTTGTAAAGTGCATTATGGTCAGAGGGCCATAGTTGGTTTCAGTTCCTCTAAACTTTGTAAGGTTACTTTTGTGATCCAGGATCTCTTGGTTAAGTGTTCCATGCTCAGTTGAGCTATAGGGAGGCATTTCTTTTTTTTTTTTTTGATTTCTTTTATTCATATGTGCATATAATGTTTGGGTCATTTCTCCCCTCTTCCCCTCCCCCTCCCTCCCTCTCTTTCCCTACCCTCACTACCAGGCAGAAATATTTGCCCTTATCTCTAATTTTGTTGAAGAGAGAGTATAAGCAATAATAGGAAGGAACAAGGGTTTTTGCTAGTTGAGGTAAGGATAGCTATACAGGGAGTTGACTTGCATTGCTTTCCTGTACATATGTGTTACCTCTAAATTAATTCTTCTTGAACTACCTTTTCTCTAGTTCCTGGTCCCCTTCTCCTATTGGCCTCTGTCGCTTTAAAGTTTCTGCATTAGTTCCTTTGCATTGAGGACATCAAATGCTTTCTTGGTTTTGGGTTTCTTGCCTATCCTCTTATCTCCCTTGTGTGCTCTTGCCTCATCATGTGATCAAAGTCCAATCTCCTTGTTGTGTTTGCCCTTGATCTAAAGTCTGCATATGAGGGAGAACATACGATATTTGGTCTTTGGGGCCTGGCTAACCTCGCTCAGGGTGATGTTCTCCAATTCCATCCATTTACCTGCAAATGATAAGATTTCATTCTTCTTCATTGCTGAGTAGTATTCCATTGTATATAAATACCACATTTTCTTAATCCATTCATCAATAGTGGGGCATCTTGGCTATTTCCATAACTTGGCTATTGTGAATAGTGCTGCAATAAACATGGGTGTGCAGGTGCCTTTGGAGTAACCTGTGTCACATTCCTTTGGGTATATCCCCAAGAGTGGTATTGCTGGATCATATGGTAGATCTATGTTTAGATTTTTAAGAAGCCTAGGAGGCATTTCTTCAATGTAAATTAGATCCAGATGGCTGATAGCTCAGCAAGCTACCTTACTCACAGATTTATTACATGCAGTTTTGACCAGATATGGCTCAAAAATTAAAAAAATCAAAAGACATTTCAAAACCAAAACTTTTAAGTTTCTACATGTGCATTCCTCAGCTCAGTTGATGTGGAGTTCTCAGTCAGTCCTATACTGTGTCTCCAGCTATAATTTCTTAGCTCTGAAGCCTGTAGTTTCTGTTGAAACTTGCTTTGGGGGGAGGGGAGTTTGAACTCAGGGCTTTGTGCTTCCAAAGCAGGTACTCTACCACTTCAGCCACACCTCCAGTCCTATAGTTTCTGATATTTATAGCCATCTTAGGTTTTTTTTTTTGGCAATGCTGGAGGTTGAACTCGGTGCCTTGTGTATGCTCAGTAGGTGCTCTACCACTTGAGCCATACCTCCTGCCCTTTAGCTTTCTTTTTTTAGGGTTTCCATGCTACATCTTTTTATTTTTTCTTTTAACATACCTGTGACAGATTACAGTTGATGAGTTTGACACAGGAGGCCCAGTTCCTCCCCTGGGGATGCGATCATGGGCGGGGGCGGGGTGGTTCACAATGTTGCTGTAAGGACTGAGGTACTGTGTACAAATTGTCTAAGTCAGTGCTTGTTCATGCAGGTTCTCAGTGAGTATCAGTTCTCTTAATATATTCTCCCCAAGTGTTTTATTTTGAAATTTCAAAATAAAAATTTCAAAGTTGTGACAAAATTATAAAATATCCAGCAATCTAGTTCTTCAGTTGCTTCACCAATTAATATTTTCCTACGTTTGCTTTATTTTCTCTTTTCCTCCCTCCCCACCCGTTAGTTAGTCGTGGACATCATGACATAGTAGCAGCCTTAAGTACTTTGTCATGTGTTTCTCTCTAGGACCCTCTCCTACAAAATCCCAGTGCTGTATCCTAATATCAAGTTGTTATTCAGGTTTCCCCAGTTATCATCAGATTTTTATCAGTGGGTTTTTAAAGGTTGAGATTCCATTGCACTGAGTAGTCATGCTTCTTTAACTTGCACTCATTTAGAGAATAGGCCCCAGCCATTTGTGCCTTTGGTTGTCATTAGGAGTTTTGAAGTGTTCAGGTCTGTTTTGCAGACTGTCCTTCAACGTAAGTTGGTGTCAGTGATGCCTCTTGATTAGATTCAGATTAATGGTTGCAGACAGGAGCACTTTATTTATTTAACTTTTATTAGCATCTTGTATTGGAAATACACTGTGATACTTACAAAAGTTCTTACAATATATCACAGTTAGATTCACCCCCTCCATCATTCTCCTTTGTTACCTCCCTCCCCCATTCCTGGAATAGTTTCAGCAGGTCTCGTGTTTCCATTTCCACGCATGCGTACTTAGTATTTCCTCCCGTTGCCCTTCTGCACCCTTTCCTCCTGTCCTCTCCCTCCCACTGGTGTCAGCCTCCAGGCAGAAACTGTTTAACCTTCCTGTTTTCCATTTTTTAAAAACATTTTTGTTTGTTTAAGCTAGCTATCTGTACAAGGACTTTCATTGTAACATTTCTATGTGTATATGTATTATATCCTAAATTGGTTCATTCTCTCTATTTTTCTCCTTTTTACCTTAGTTCCCTTCTTATGGTGATTTCAACAGGCTTAAAATTTCTATATTCATTCTTGTATAGAAAGTACATCAACCGTATTCACCTTCTTAACTTCCTTCTTTTACTTTCCTTTTCCTGTTAGTGACCTCCCCTTAGTGTGACCTGTTTTTTTTAATAATATTGCTTATATTTGTATTGGGCCTATATTCCACATATTAGAGAAAACTTGTGGTCTTTGTTTTTCTTAACCTTTGGCTAACTTCACTTAACATGATGTCCTTCAGGTCCATCCACTTACCTACAAACAGCAAAATTTCATTCTTTATGGCTGAATAAAATTTCATTGTATATAAATACCACATTTTCTTATTTCATTTATTGGTAATGGGGCATCTTGGCTGTTTCCATAGCTTTTTCAGCATTATTGTGAATAGTGCTGCAGTAAACATGGGTGTGCAGGTGCCTTTAGCATAACCTGACATATTCCTTTGGGTGTATCCCTAGTGATGGCATTGTTGGATGATATGGCAGTTCTATTTTGAGTTTTTTGAGGAACCTCCATACTGTTTTCCATAGTGGTTATACTAATTTACATTCCCACCAGCAGTGTATGAGGGTTCCTTTTCCCTCACACCTTGCTAACATTTGTTGTTGTATGTGTTCCACTCTAACAGGATGAAGTGAATCTTAAAGTGGTTTTGATTTGCATTTCCTTTATGGCCAGCATTTCTCATGTGCTTTTTAGCCATTTGGACTTCTTCCTTTGAAAAGGTTCTATTCAGTTCATTTGTCCCTTTCTTCATTGGGTCATTGATTTTTTTGGAAGTTTAGTTTTTTGAGGTCTCTGTGTATTCTTATTATTAATCCCTTGTCAGATGTATAGCTGGCAAGGATTTTTCTCTTTTTCTGTGAGCTGTTTCTTCAATTTAGTGACCATTTCTTTTGTTGTGCAGTAGCTTTTTAGTTTCATTTAGTCCCATTTTTCAATCAGACAGAAGCACTTTAGATGTTTGTTCTCAGTGATGTTGGTTTATTCCATCAATGGTGATGATAAATATATTTTCTTGATTAATCTGGTGTTTGCAAGATTTCTAAATCATAAAGGTGCCTTTTCTTTTGTAATTAATAAGTCATCTGTGCGAGAATATCTTGAATATCCTGTTCTCCAGTGATCTTTAACTAATTCCTTTAGCATTGATGATTCTTACTTGGATCAATTATTATCATAAAAGTTATACAATAGTGATTTTCTGTTTCTATTATTCTTAGGTATTTATTAGTTGGATTTCTTCTGTAAAGAAGAGATCTCCTTTCCTTTGTTTTTCTTTCCCTTCCCTTCCTTCCCCATGCCTTCTCTTACCTTCTCTCCCCTTCCCTCCCCTCCCCTCCCCTCCTTTCCTCTAGCTTCACCTTCCCTAGCCTAGCCTCACTTTCCTCTTCCCTTGCCTTGCCTTCCCATTTCATCATTGTGGAGTCATAATTATTTCTTTATTTAGTTAGTCATTACTGTCATTATTCATTTTGATGCTCAAATTTTCCTAAATTTGGTGAGTGGGAACCACCTAATTTTTCTGGGTTGGTATATTTGCAGCAGAGGAAAGCTGTCTCTAGTATTTATCATTTGAATCAATTTTGTAGCCTTGGAAGCTATGGGAATTAATGCCAGTACCATCTATTAGATTCTCTCCCTTTCTTGAGCTTTAGATAACTGTTCTGTGCTTATTTTCCAGCAAATCACTGAACTGAAGAAGGAAAACTTTAACCTAAAACTCCGCATCTATTTCCTTGAGGAAAGAATGCAGCAGGAATTTGATGGCCCTACTGAACATGTCTACAAAACTGTGAGTGGCCCACTTCTTTCTGCTGTTCCTGTGTCTTTTCTCGTAGTTATTCTAAGCAGGTATTTGTCCTTAGAGTTAGCAGGAATAGACAGAGCTGTTTTCATTTAATTTGGTTTGAGTATGAGGAGCAGAAAGACACTAGCTAGGACGACCCTCATGTTAAGCAAAGAAGTGAATCTCTAAGGAAGTCTTTTACTCTTCTTAACATCAGAATTCCGGTTCACTTTTAACTGGATTGCCTTTTTATAATTATTATTTAGAAATAGGTGGTGGAATGGTAGAGTGACTTTGAAATTGATTCCTTTTGTTACCAGCTATGGGGTAACTTTAGATAAGTCACTTCAGCTCTCTGGGCTTGCTCCATAGTTGAGTGATAGTCCCTGTGTCATAGGGTTATTTGTGTGGATTAAAATGGGGTGACAGATGAAAAGCTCCAGCACATAGTTGCTGTGCGACAGTTACCATCATTGTCTTACCAAGGCTTCCTTTGGCCACCCAAAGTTAGTATTGTCAGTTTTTCTGTGATTCAACTCTTCTGTATTCCTGTGTGAATACAGAACTGTCAGGAAAAAAAAGTCTATTTCTATTTGAAGTCTTGACCTGGAGGTCTCTGTCTGAAAACAAACCTTGGTTCTGAAAGTTGAAAAAAAGAACTTGGCTTTCTTGAAAAGACACAAGTACAAACAATATTTCGGTGCCCATTTCTTAGCTTTTTCTGGTAGCTTAGCCCTTGGCCTGGGAATTATTCTGTCGTTATTTTTCCTCTGAAGTTTGTGCCAAGTGGAAACTTTGAATGAGAAGAAAAAATTCTCCTTGAGTTTCAGTAGAACTTAAATGGACTTTTCTTGACGAGGGATTGCATTGTCCTTCTGAGCCTTTTCAAGAACTGAAAAGTTTCTGTGTTCCTGAAGGAACTGTTTTCTTCCTTCAGCGTGGGGTGGAAAGACAATGAGGATGCCCCTGTTTCTGGAAGGAGTGGTGATACACTCAGAACTTCAAGGGAAAACCAGTAGTCTAAAGCACTTTGTGTGGAAGCATGGTGGCCATGTACCCCAGGACTTCTGGAGTGACAGGCAGTCAAACTGTGCCTGTTGCCAACTATGTGAGGCACACTGTCTTGGGCATTTGTACATTCATCATCTTGTACTTCTTAGGTCAACCTTGTGTAGTGGAAATTATCCTCATCCTATAGTTGAGGAAGCTGAGGCTTGGGGAAGATCAGTAACTTGCTGGATGTCATATAGCTATAGTCTGAGGCAGATTTTGAGGCCAGATCTGTCCTCATTGTTTGTACTATGCTGCTTCAGCTATCATTTTACATTTAATTAAGTTTTGGGCAGGTGCATATAGTTTGGAATTTAAAAAATAAAACATGTATACATGGAAAAGATGTTCTTCCACTCTCATCTCCTGGGCCTCTAGATCTAACCAATGTTATTGCTTCCTTAAACAGAGGAATTTTAGGTAAATATAAGCAAGTGTGTGTGTGTGTGTGTGTGTGTGTGTGTGTGGTGTAAAACCCTGCTTTTTTGCATAAGTGCAAACATGCTGTGTTTTGTACCTTGTATTTTTCACTTAAAGGTATCTTGGATATCTTTCCTTAATAGTAGTTTAAGAGTAGCTGCTTCACTTTGTTTTATAGCTTCATAATAGTCCATTTTATGTTGAAGAGGCATCTTGACTTTTGGTTTGGAAATTACTATTGCCATATCCATAAGTTTTTAATTTGAGATATTGGGCGTGTGGAAAGCAGTCTAATGGACATGTCAGCTATCCATTGTTTAAAATTTATTGGGTTGGGTTCCAGTTGGTTCATCTGAAAGCAGTGATCTTTGAATATATTATATAAGCTCAGACATAGAAGCTTGCTGGCCTCCTGAGAGCTGGAGAAGGAATCTTTTGGAAGAGTGCTTCTGCAGCTTTCACAGACTGTCACTGAGGACATGTGTGCTGCCACTCAGTGTCCTGTCGTTTAGGCAAAGTTTAGTTTCTTCTAGAAAAAGTTCCGCTCATAGATGACTTCAGTTCCTGCTGTTTGACAGTGAAGAAAACAATGAAGGCCTTCGTATTTGTTACTTTATTTAGCCCTCAAATCCCTCTCATCATGTGGAGGTTTTTGTTTTTTGACAGTTGAGGGATCCAAAAGGCAAAGCATTGCTTTTTCACCCCGAGCTTGTGTTCCAAGGTCAGACACAGGGTCACACTTCCAGATTTGTGTTCCTTGTTACCAAGAAGGCAGGGCCTGTGTCTTGTTGACTCTAATGTACTCACTGTTAGGCTTGACACTTGAAAAGTGTCTGTAAAGGAGTAAATAAATAAGTGTCCACTGACTTACTATGGTCTCCTAGTAAAGAGTAGAGGCAGACTTTGAAACCTTATCTTTCTGTTCCCATATCGAATGACCTTCCCATTTTGGCTGAACTTTTGACATGGGGTGCTTCCCCCAGGGCTGCTTGGCAGGAAGGAGGGAGGCTTGTCCTTTGAGATTTTAAGTTTTACTGAGTTATTTTTATTTAAAATAACACACATGTGTTATGAAGTAGAATGTAAAATTGGCATGAATTATTAAAATGAAACAGGAGAGAATTCAGAGAAATCTTGGATTTATAGTAATCCTTTCCAACCTGTGCACTCAGACACCGTGTCTGCTGCATGAACTTGTATCGTATTTCGTCTGCATACATTTGTGGATGGGTTTGAGAAGCCCACCACTGCTTCACTCTCACATTGCATTCCATCTGCCAAAGATTGTCTTTGGATTCTCATGTGCGTTGTAAGCCCAAAGCTGCATGTGACTCTCTTTGTTCCAGTCACTTAAGAGAAAGACAGTCTGTTGATGAACACTGTGGTCTCCCTTAGAGACAGCTTGCCCCATGTGGTTGTGGCTTTTTGTGAGGGAGAGCCTGAAATCTTATATTGAGATGAGGCAGGCCACAATGTGGTCTTCCTCTTATCCATTCACAGGTTTTCCTTCTTTTTTTTTTTTTAAAGCGATAACACGTTCCCACTGCTACAACCACTACATGCATGATTGGAAACAACCGAAAGTAATTACTTTGGAATGGTAAAAGCAAACTGTAAATTTGCTTGGTGATGGGCAAACAATTTTTAAATCAGCTCACTTGTATGACATTTATGCCTCGATATTTGAATGCGCTCGCTGTTAGGAACTTGGAACCTTTACATAATTGTTCAAGTCTTGAGGAATCCCAGGCTTTCTTTTGAGACCACCAGTGTTTAATAATTCCCTTTTCCCCGTGCCTTGAGGCTAAGGAGGGTTTTGAAGCTAACATCTGCTGTTATAAGCATTGGATAGTCACTACATGCTAGAAGTAGTTTGGTGTTTGGCGAGCCTGTATCTTACACTGTTTCTTTTCTTTCCTTATCTTGTCTGGAAGAACATTGAGCTCAAGGTGGAAGTAGAAAGCTTGAAGCGGGAGCTCCATGAGAGAGAGCAGCTGCTCATCAAAGCCTCGTGAGTACTTGTTGTCCCGTCAAAAGCTTGGACTTGTTGGGGCTTCACATGGTGGGTGCTCGGCTGCTCAGTAAAACACAACCAACTGCTTTTCTAAACTAGTTGTTCTGTGTATGGCCTCTGAGGACCCAAGGAAGTCTTGTTTTTATTTAGTTATTTTCAACAAGTTTTCTCAAGTGTGACATAGTAAAGAAAAATGAACAGGACTTAGAGGTATAGCGAAGATTTTTACAGACCAAATACACTCATAGAGCCACCATCCTGATCAGGATGCAGAACATTAGTGGTGTGGTCTCCAGAGGCCCCCTTCATGCTCTCAGAACTTAACCTTCTCCCACTGTTCTGTTACCACGATTGCTTAATTCTACCTCCTTCTGAACATCGCATAAATGCAACTATACAATATGTCCTTTTTTTGTGTTTAACTTCTTTCTTCTGCAGTATCTTCAGAGAGTCGCCAGCGTCATGAATTATGTGTTCATTCATTATCAACGCTGTAAAAAGCCTAGGGATGTGGAAGGGTCCTGGTGGGTGAAACAGGGAGACAGAGGGTGGGGCTTCAGCCAGAGTAACTGTATTTTAAAACTGTTACATGTACTAGGGTCTCTTGTAATATTTTGTTTAAAAAAAGGGATTCTAATACTTTCAAAAAGTTGAATATTAATATTTCCATTAATTAGTTATTTAGATATTTATTGAACAAAAAGCGCAGCTCAGAGAATACCACCAGAAGAGCCACTGGCTCTTCATTCATTCATCACTACTTGTTACGTAATTTCTTGTGCCACAGCTGAGGATTTGCAGACACTGCATTATTCCCGGAGCTCACCTGAGACTGCTGAGAGGAGTGTCGTACCTGTAAACCAGTGTACGCTGTTTTGCTCTAGGGAATAAGACTTCCAGGGCTGCCTCACCAATGGCTGGCTGGGAGCTTATGTGGAAATGTGTCATTTGCCATTGCAGTAGAGCTCTGCTGGGTGTGGTGGGCCAGGAGCATGAATCTTTGGCTTGGGGTACAGCTGCACCTCTCTGGGCCAGGCCACCATCATTCTTCTCTTCATCATGGGGTCCAGCATCTGGAAGTTGACCTTTGTTGACTTTGAGCAGATCACAGGCTCCCAGGCCCAGGGTTTTCCTCTGAGTCATGCTGAACCTGGACACATGGCGTTTTCTGAATGAATGAATGAATTAATAAATATGACCAGACTAATACATTGTTATTCATTCACATACAACATTCTCTGGGCAGGGAGGCTAATCCACTTTACCAGGTCTAGAGATCAGTAATAGAATTTGGTCTGTTTCATACCCATTGACCTGCCTACAGCAGGTCTTGGCTGGAACTTGTTTTTGGCTAAGGATGTACATGTGGGAACCCCATCTCCTAAGGGCTTGTGTGTATATTCCTTAACATAGACACACAGGATAGGGTGTTTTGTGCATAAGTATGTATGTTTGTATTTCCCAGGTTTCCAGTATGGTGTTCAAGGCCCTGACTGGTTTTATTAACTTGTTTCAAAAGTATTTCTTAAGCAGCTGTTGTGTGCTGTGCTGGGCAAGATATAGTGGTGATCCAAACAGATATATGAGACTTACATTCTAGTGAGGAGGATAGTCATAAAATATTTTCAGTAATATGTAACAATGTGTGACTATAAATTGGGATATTTATAAAGAACAAAAGGGAGCCATGAGAGCTGATAGCTGCAGGAGTAGATATATAGATATATAGCTGGGAAGGTGCCCCATGGAGGTGACATTTGAGATAAGATCTTAGGTGTCAGTGGGAATTAAGCAAGTGAATGGATGGAGAAGGGAATGTATGTAAAGGTCTTTACGAAAATACAAGAGTAGAGCACTAAAGATTTTGGTCTCGTCCTAAGGTCAAATAAGCAAGTGACATAAGAGTTTTGTTTTTGCAAAGGTCACTCTGGGTGCTGGGTGGGAAATGGATGGTAAAAGGAGCTTGAGAGGAGGCGGGGAGACTAGTTAGGAAGTCAGCACGGAGGATGAGGTGAGAGTTAAGTGTTGGAGTGGGTGGGTGGATGTGAATGACATTTAGGAAGCAAAGTCAATAGGCCTCAGTGATGGATGAGAAGGGAGGATAGAGGATGACTTCTGTCTGAGGTTAAGACCATGAGCTCTGTTTAGGAATGTTTACAGTGAGTGATTTGTACACGTCAGCTTTCTCTCTTCTACCTCTTTGTTGCAAACACAGTCCAGGGGTTCCAAACATGTTCTTGTTCCTGCCGCTTTTACTTTGTTCCCGCCGACCTCTTGTCCTTCTCAGCTGTTCTCAGTCCAGTGCCTTTCCCACGGCTTTGCCCTTGGTAAAGGCTGTAATGGTGGATCACACGCAGCTTCCTCCAGCCCACATGGGCCTCTTTACCAGCTTCTCTGACATAAGACGAAAGTCCCACACTTTTCATTGTATACCCGAGGAATACGCTGCTTTTGTAGAGGAGGGAATTCAGGCCTGGTAAAGGGAAGGGCTGAGAAGCCTAGCCAGAAAGGTCAGAACTAAGGCTGGAACTTGAGTTCCCAATATCTAGTCCACCCTAGGTTTCATTGAGTTCTATTTTGTTTTGTTTCCTAATTTTCATGTGTAGGCATAGTATATGCACAATATCTCTATATGGCGTTCAGTGTCTATCCTATAACTGCTAAATGTGCCTTTCTCTTTGTCCCTAACTACTACCCTGCACTCATCAGTTTCTCTCTGGTGGACACTTGTTGATGGAAAGTATCTTTATTATTGTAATGCCTTCAATTCCCTTTTTCATTGTTTTGAATTTTGATGGGTGGGACATGGGACCTGCTACAGGAAAGGCCCTTGTAAACTGTAATCAGAATGGAAAGCACCAAGAGGAAATGTTGAGGGTTAAAAAGAGTAGTAGTGGAGATAGTGTTTCTGGAACATTCTTTCTAGCATTGTTAAAAAGCTGGATTAGGTCTTGCTATCTATCTGTGTCCTAGCCAAGATTCTACAAGAAAAGAAAGGGAAAAAGGAGGGAACTAATACTGGTTGAGATGCTACTTTGTCTCAAACTCTGTGCCTAGCACTTAACATGCTTTATTGCAGTACAACAGTTGTGTAAGGCATCCAGTGTTTCCATTTGAGTGAACAGAAAACTGAGGCCCAAAGGAGAGGGGAACTTGCTTGAGTTGGTAACACAGCTGGATTTGGTCCGGCACCATTTAGATGACCTTCTTGTGAAGTTAACATGTTTTCTGGTTTTCCATTGTTACATTTATCAGTTATAATAAGGGGACATTAAAAACAAAAGCAATCATATTGTTGGGAGTAGATTTTTATCTCTGTAGCTTTAAAACACAAACAAAAAATAATAATTCCATTAGCAGAGGAAAATTGCACCATACTGCTGAGTATAAATTTTATTGCTACAGTAACTATAAAATACAAAAATGATAAATGAAAAGTTGGAACATTTATTATTGGGTATATGTTTTATTGGTATAACTAAAACACAAACAAACTGAATAATACCAGTAGTTGTTAAAAATTGTAGTCAGCCTCTTGACAGTGTATGTGGTTCAGGCTATAAAATGCCAAGGTTAGATCTGGGATGATGGGTTGTAGGCTCTATTTGCACTCTGGTAGGCTGGGGTGGAGGTGAAGGTAGGGGTCATCGAAGAGAGCTGTTTTATAGAAGGGGATCCATAAAGCCCCAGGGCTAAGACATTGTGAGTGGTTAGCAGAAGTTCAGAACTAGACAGATCCTGTTTTATGGCTCAGGAAGGAAGGGGTTTGAGTCTAGAGTTCTTCTGGCCATCTATATTGCCCCTTAAGAAGTGACAGAAATGATTGTGAGTTGCTGTGAATTTGAAACAGTGCTGATCCAGAAATGAGTCAAAGGAGTGGTGCTGAGGACACTTCAGGGCACTAATCAGGAAGTGGACATAGTAGCCTTGGCCTTGGTTCTGGTTGGGGAGGATCTATTTTCAGCTCAGATCCCCGTACCTTCTCAGCAGGGGCCAGTACTTGCCCCAGACTGGAGTGGCCTCTTTTGCACTGCACTCAGATCAGTGAGGAAGAGGTACCCTGTGTGTGAGCACCTTGATTCTAAGAGGTAATCATTTTTTTTACATGAGGAAACTGAGGTGTAACAGGTAAATTTACTCAGAGCCACACTGGGGATGGAATAGAGCAAGAATTTGGAAGGAGATCTATCTAGTTCCAGAGCCCATATTCTTTCCTTCTAGTTGTTCACGTTGAATTCCATTAATGTGGTATCATGACACTGGGGCCTTTGCAAGCCTTATTGGAGAAAGGAAAAGCAGAAATGAATAAGGTCTTTATTTGCAGGCGATGCCTGTTTTTGAGTCTTGGACAGAAAGCATGGCCTCTTGACTTCCCGTTGTTCTCAGTAAACCATTCACATGGCCTGAACATGTGAGTGTCTGGTCACATGGCTCTCGTTGGGGAACTTTTATGTACCCCTAAAGTAGTGCATGGGAGGCAAGCGGTGAAGAGACTTTTCTGTTGCAGTTTTTCTAAGGAACCAGCTTTAGGTGGAGCCATTTCCTCTGCAATCTGCTTTCTGGAAACCTGCAATCATTTAGAAATCTGATGAAGACTGCTCGGAGTCTAAGTCGCACAGCTTTATGCCGACACTGCTTTTCTTTAGGTGTCAGTGGTTGTGGCCTGTGTCTGGTTTTGGTGTGCAGTCCCCAGCTCTTATCATAGTGCAGAGGGGGGTACTCCAAAGAGCCACAGCCGTATTAGAGTAACACGAGTGTGGGATGCTTGCACGATCTCCCTGCCTTGTGCCCTAAGTGGTATCTTGTGCTCACACAGATGGATCCTGCTGTGTTTAACTGCTTTCTTCTCCAGTTGGTGAGAGATGATGCATGCAACCCTTAATCCTGCAGATTTATTTTTGTGGTTTATTGCTCCTTTGTGTATTGGTCTCAAACCACCTCTGCTGCACCACTGGTGGAAAACTGCTTTGCTGGGAGCTCCCTGGTGGGATGAGTGGGATCCTTTGACCCAGGGATCTTTCTTCAGGAAATCACTGGATAGTAGGCATGCAGGGATGCTTTTATCATAACATTGCTTATTGTATCGAACAGTGGCACTAACACTTATTGAATGCTCATTTTGTACCAGGCCTTGTTCTCAGATCTTTATGAATATTATCAGACAAATGTGGTAAATAAGAAACAATTTAAATATTTATAAATGTAGAGAATTGCTTTAGTAAATCACAGTATATTTCATTAAGTGAATTAATTTGTAGCCTTTAAAATCGTGCTACAAATTTGTACTTATTCACGCAAAAGGATGTTTTTATTGTATTATGTAATCAAGTCGGTTCACTGATATGTACTAAATGGTTCTATTTTTGTAGGAAATGTCTGAAAGGCTATATATTAATGTTGACTTTAGTTATCCTGAGTGACAAGGTTATGAATGATTCTTACCTTTTTCTTATCTATGTTTTGGGATTACAAATACTAATTTAAAGAAAGAAGCTTAGCTCAGGTAAGTGGGAGAAATGACTAGCAAATATCCCTTGGCTCTTTGAGGCTGCCACCCTAATGTGGTCCTCCTTTTCCCCTCCTCTCTGCAGAAAAGCGGTGGAGAGTTTAGCAGAAGGGGGCGGCTCTGAAATTCAGCGGGTGAAAGAAGATGCCCGGAAGAAGGTGCAGCAGGTGGAAGACCTCCTAACAAAAAAGATCTGCCTTCTTGAAGGGGCAAGTCTGAAAACTCGGCGGGGATGTCATTACTTTTTTACAGTGGGTTAAAATCTGGGTGGGCTCAATGTTGTTCCTTTTTTCATAAACTCAGACTTCTAGCAGAAACACCAGCCACCCTAATCCTTACTGAGCATCTCCTGGATTCCAGCTCCATTTTTAGGCACTTTACATATAAAATTTGTAAGCCCCACATCCCTCAAATTGGCTACCATTGTCTTCAATCCTATGTGAGGACACTGAGGCACAGTGAAAATACGACTGGCCCAGGTGTTTCCTCAATTTAAGCTGTGTGCTGATTTTACAGCCCAGGCTTTCCACAACACCACTCTGCTTATATCTACTTTGGTTCCATTGTTTTAAAGACAAGGAAGCCAGAGCCCACAGAAGAGAATATTTACCTAATGCTAGGCAAGCGTGGATTCAGATTTCCTGGTCTTTAGCAGTCACTTGCCCATCCAGCTCTGTCCACCCACCCTGCCAGTGCTTGTTCATCATCTTTTCTCTACTAGGCCATGTGCTACTTCTCCTTCTTCTTAATCTTAACTAGGTATTTCCTGTGTGTATGAAGGGAATCTGGATTTTTTTTGTCTAAAAATATCCTAACTCCTGGAAGTTAAAAGACTTCCCCCAGAGCTGGGTACCAGCGGCTCATAGCTATAATCCCGGCTATTTAGGAGGCTGAGATTGGAAGGATCGAGGTTCAAGGCCAGCCCAGGCAAATAGTTCTTGAAATCCCATCTCAACAGTAGCTGGGTCCACACACCTGTCATCTCAAGCTATGTGGGAGGGAGGCTGAGATCAGGAGGATCACAGTTCCAGGCCAGCCTGGGAAAAAACAGATTGTGAGACCACATCTCAATGGAAAAAAATCTGGGTATGGCCTGTTATTCCAGGGATGGCAGGAAGTGTAAAATAGGAGGATTGTGCTCTAGGCTGGCCTGGGCAAAATGCAAAAAAAGAAAAAAAGCAATATCCTATCTTCAAAATAATCAGAGCAAAAAGGGAAGGAGGTATGACTCAAATGGTAGAGCACCTGATTAGCAAGGTCAGAGCCCTGAGCTCAAATCCCATTTTAAGCTAGTAGTCAGTAGTACAGGTTGACTGTCTCTTTTCTGAAATGTTTGGGATCAAAAGTGTTGAATTTTTTAAATTTTGAAGTATTTGCATCTACATAATAAGGTATCTTGAGGATGGGGCCCAAGTCTAGACAGGAAATTCATTTGTGTTTCACATATACTTTATATAGTCTGAAGGCAATTTTATACTGTTTAGTGTGCCTTTGTTTTGACCGTAACCTATCATATGAAGTCAGGTGTGGAATTTTCAACTTTTGACATGTTCTTGGTACTCAGAAATCTGTTTTTGATATTGGAGCATTTTGGAGTTTAGATTTTTGGATTAGGGATGCCCAGCCTATACCAATTGTATACTAATTATTAAAAAAGTTTTTTGAGACAATGTCTTGCTTTATAATCCAGGCTGGCCTTGAATTTAATATTCTTCTGCCTTAGCCTCCTGAGTTCTGGGATTACAGGTGTGTACCACCATGACTGTAAGAGCTATCACTGTTGACTCAGTTACTGTGCTTTCCCCATTTAGTATTTCCCAGAGCTCTGCTCTGTCACTTGCTATCTTTATCACCTTGGTTGAGCCTCTGCTTCTTCATCTGTGAGGTAAGGACAGCAACACCTGCTTTTCGGTAGTGATTGCAGTAGTAGGAGCAGGACTAACAAGTTGTCAAGGGTTCACCATTGTAGATAACAGGTGACCTTGAGATGTCAGGTGTGTGCTACTGTACCTAGCCATTGTTGAGATAGGATTTAAGAACTTATTGCCTGGGCTGGCCTTCTAAGACTTTCTATGCACTGACTTAGTCATTCCTTTCAAGAAGTTGACGAGGTAAGTGCTCCCATCATCCTTTCTCTTTTTCTTTCTTCCTTTTTAAACAGATGCACAGAGTGGGCTAAGTCACTTACTCAAGATCCCATGGGTGGTAAATGTCACGTGGTCTGGCTGCTGTCCTGTATTCTAGACCATGATACTCTACTGTCTCAGTGTATAACGCTATAGGGTTAGGTGAGGATAAAATCTGATATATATAAAGCTTCCCGCTCAGAGCCTGGCATTTAATAGGCACTCAGTAAATAACAGGCTTTGTCCTTTGATGTCTAAGAAAATGTGAAATGATTTTTCCCAGATCTTCTTGAGATAGACAGGCAAGCCTTCTGGGGAGATGGTGCTGGGGGAGGCGCCAAGGAGGGAACTGGCAAGGAGAAGGAAACCAGTTTTTGAGCTTTCTGGGATGTAGCAGGTATTTGACAGAAACTTGCAGCAGTTCTTTAATGGGATGGTAGTTATCCTGTTTTGTAGATTGAGAACCTGGTGCTCAGAGAGATTAAGTGACTATCCAAAGTCACAAAGCAAATACATAGGAAAGCTGGTATTTATTTATTTTTTTGTAATTGTTTTGTTATTTAGTCTTTTGAGACAGGGTTTCACTATGTAGCCCTGGCTGGCCTGGGCTGTATAGCCAAGGCTGACCCCAAACTCAAGGTCCTCTTGCCTCAGCCTCCTGAGTGCTGTAACTATAGACATGTACCTCCATACCCAGTTTGCTTTGACTTTTCTTTGTGATGTAGCCTGAGGCACTGGGCATAAGTAACTGGAGATTCAGGCCTACTCCCAGGTCACTTTCATGAGCACCGGGCCTTTCCCCAATACAGACACTATGCCTGTGTGATTTAGATAATTTCCTTGGTGGTTTCTTTGAGCTCTTAGGAAGAGCAGAGAGTTTTCTACCACCTAAATCACCTTGGAGATATAGTAAATGTACTTCAGAGTCCTATAGTCATTATCTTAAAAAGAAATAGTGAGGGGCGGTGGGTGTGGGATAAATTTGTATGGAGATTATGGTGACTTTGGAATTTATGTGTGTTTAGTATTGAGAGTCGAATTTCTCCTAGCTCTCACTGAAGCTGTAAATATTGATCTGATTTTTCAAAACCAAAAGTACAGTTCTTGTAGAGTTGAGTCTTTTCCATTGGAAATGCCTATTACTCTTCAGGATAGAAGAGGGCAAAATGGCTGGCAAATGTATTTATTACCGATTCTTTCCATGTATAGTACAACTCAGGGAGGGGAAATGTGCCGGAGAAAGAGTCATAAATATTTATATTTTAATCCAATTTCCTTTCAAAATGTTCCCAATTGTATTGAAAAATTGCATCAAATGCATTTAATTTAACTCTAGGATGTGAAAGCCGCCCAAGCAGAACTGGAAAAAGCTTTTGCGGGGACAGAAAGGGAGAAGGCTCTTCGACTGAGTTTGGAAAGCCAGCTTTCAGAGATGAAGAAGATGCATGAGGGCAACTTGGAGATGGCTGTGGTCCTGGAAGAGAAGGACAGGTTTGGCTCTGGCCCCTGTGAAACCCTAACATCTCATTATCTGCAATGTGGAGAAAGGATCGTTCTTTCCCTTCTTTGTCTCATCATTCCCCACAGGACTTGAGTGACTTACAGGAACTTATCCAACACAGTAAGACAGAAAACCAGGGTGGAAAGAAAAGGAATAGGATAGTAATAGGAGGTCAGAAGACAGAGTAAGTAGAAATTCATGTTGAAAAGTTTTACTTAGACACTAAGCCTGGTGTTCAGTTTTGGCTAAAAGCTACCTGGTAGCCAAAGGAAAAAGGGAAAATACAATCTTGTGGACATGAGATTGGGATTGCTTACCAAGTAAAGCAAGCCACGAACTCAGGAGCAGCCCAGTCTTACTTGGCACTATCAGAGGGAAATTTCTCTTGTGGTTCTTTCTGAAGGGAATAGTGAGTGACTACATCCCCACAATAAATATTAGTGAATTTTGTGTGACCCACTTTCCATTATTTTTTAATGCTGGGCAGAGGCACACATTAGTATAGTACAAAGGGCTAAAACAAAACAATGTAGACCATATACAGAGTTTTTTGATGGACTGGAATGAAATATGTGCCATTTAGTTCAGAGAAATGGATGGACAGTAGGGCCTTTAGGCTACATTTAATGTTCATTTATCTTGTAACTAAACTTTTATTCTTAGTTTTGACTTTCTTGCCCTATTTGGTGGTCACCAAATGGAAGATTGAGTTAGACTGCCGGCTTAACTGTGGCCTATTGGTTGAAGAGCCAGAATTGTTTGGAATTTGATAGAAATTGTTCCAAGATCAATGTTCTACCCCAGGGATTCTGCCTGTGGTTCCTTCTGTTGTTCCTTTTCTTGATTACTCACTGCTCCCTGCACTGGTGGAACCTGCCATGCTTTTTGCTTTTACTTCTGCTTTGGTACCATCTTTTGAGTCTTGAGCCTGCTACCTGTTTGCATTTATGTGTTGGGAAATCAGAGGAGCAAACCTTTTTGGATTATTTGTGAAAGAGGAGTAAGTAGACATCCATGATCTCCATGCTTCAGCATTTGTTGGGTGTGCTGCAGCTTTTTCTTAGCTGTGACCTGGATAATGAATGTGTTGTGATTAGGAACTGAGTTCTCTGAACCTCAGCAGAGGGAATGAGTGTTATCTCAGCTTGCCCACTTGAGACCTTGTGTTTTTCTTGACCACATTGGTAGGAAGAGCAGCCTCCCTGGAGAGGTGTTCTTTTGCTGAACCTCTCTCTCAAGGTACTGGACCTTTGCAGGCACTGTCGAGGGAGAGTCAGGAGCCTCTAGATTGCGAGAAATTCCACACAGATCATTCCCACCTTCTCTTCTCAGCTGATCAGCTGTGAAATGCTTAGAAGTCTTATGGGCTTGTTTTCCTTGAGGGGAATCTACAGGTCCCAGCAGTTAAACTAGGGGTAAGGGCTCAGGGAATGGAATGGAATGTGTGGGCAGCCACCAAGGAAGAAAAGCAAGAATTCCTGGTGCCTGTGAAGGGGAGGAAAGGAGAAGGCTCAGAAGGGGTTTGCAAAGAAGTCCTGGGATAGAGCTAATCGGAAAGACCTTGTGAGGGTCCTCACAGATGCTTGGCAGGTTAACTCATTGGTTCTATTGGATCATTATGTGCTTTACTCAACAGCATTTCCTGTGCATCTTTTATTCTACACAGAAGTGATTAGAATAAAGGAGTGAGTATTGCAGACTGTGTCTCTCTCTTATCTAAATTTAAGCTTGTCATGTAGACTGGGCAGGAACAGAATGATAAGGGCTAGGTGGGATAAATGCTGGGTTAACATAATATTTACTGAATTCAGTTTAGAGGAACTAGAAGAAGCTCCCTGGAGGAAGTACCTATAGTCCCCCCTCTTATCTGTGAGGGATTTGTGCATGGCTGGAACCTGATAGTATGGAAATACTATGATTTTTTTCCTTCATGTACATATATACCTATGATAAAGTTTAATTTATCAACTAGCTACAGTAAAATAATAAAGTATAACAATTATAAAAATATTCTATAATGAAAGTATGTGAATACGGTCTCTCTCTCAAAATATTTTACTGTACTGTACTCACCCTTGTGATGATGGGAGGTGATACAGTATCCACATGATAACCTGAAAAGAGGTGAATGGCACAGGCATTGTGATATACTATTGGGCTACTATGAAAAGGTTACTTGAACACAAGCACTGTGATGCAGTTGATCTGATAGCCAAGATGGCTACTCAGTGACTAATGGATGGGTAGCATATATGATGTGGGTACAGTGAACAGAGGGATGATTCATATGCCAAATAGGATAGAGCTGAACACTGTGAGATTGTATTATGTTAATCAGTGTGTGTGCAATTTAAAATTTGTAAATTATTCATTTCTGTGATTTTCCATTTAATATTTTTGGATCACGGTTGACTACTGTCAGTCTACCTTAGTAGATAACTGAACACACAGAAAACAAAACTGTGGATAAAGATGTGCCACTGTATTAAGACAAAGGTACGTAAGGGTGTTTCAGGGAACAAAAAGTCCAGAGGCAAAAGGGAACATGTCATAAACAAGGCAGGGAAAGACATGCAGCATGGCCAAGTGCTGTGTTCTAGAAAGGGAGGTGGGAAGAGGAGAGGAGAGGGAAGCTGGGGAGGTCATGTGGGCCCCACGGAGGAATTGGGTTTATCTTATAGGGATGTGAAAGCTACTGAAGAGTTAAGGGTGAGGTATGGGAAATGATAGGATCAGATTAAATTTAGAGAGATCCTTCTGGCTGCGTCTAGGGGATGAATGATACTGGTCCCAGTGAAAGACTGGTTCTCAGGCTGATGCAGACATGCAGACAAGAGATGATGGCGACCAGGCCTGAGGGAACAGGAGTAGGAATGGAAGAGAACTGAGGGGATAGGAGGAGGTAGAGTGGGCATGATGGGCTCGAAGGACTTGGGGACTGAGGGAAAGGGCTTCAGTGATGTCTTCTTCCAGGTTTGAGCATGAGCAACTGGAGGTAGTAGTGTACTTTGCTGAATTTGGGGAAAGAAAGAGGTGGCCAGTGATGCTGTCAGTCTGGACATGGGCTTGAGACTGTCTGTGAGCATCTGATAGTGGAGGCCAGAAGGTGAGTGGGTACATGGATTAAGGCTGGAATGGAGGAAGTATAGATTCCTTCCTTAAACAACTGCCAAGTGGCCTTGAGCATGCATGCCTCGATTGCAGATGTAAACCTGGTCCTGCTCATGTGGCGCTCATGGGACAGGGGCAGATATGTCCTGATTGAGTCTGTAATAGAGGTGAGTTCAGGGCTCTGTGCTTGGATGTGGGGCAGGGAATGGTCTTCAGGAGGAGTACTGGGAATTGCCTAAGCAAGAGAACAGTCTGTGCAAAGGCCCAAAGCCTGGCACATTTCACCTTGATCCTAGAGAAAAGCCATCCCTGTCAGTGTGTGCTGTGGAAGCTTGACTTCGCGTCATTTTTAGAAGAGGGCATTTGGGAAGATAAATAAAGACTGAGGTCCATCACATTCTCCGGGGTCTCCATGGATGTGGTGGTCAGGTCAGCACTTTGCAGAAGGTTGCATCTTCCTAGGGGTTCCCATAGGTCTTGTGAAATGGGCACAAGAAACTGGTTTGTCAGTCCTGTGAATTTGTCTGCCTCAGGGAGAGTGGTGTCCCAGCTGTACTCCACTCCTGGAGACCAGCAGCCGGATGCCAAGCCCAGGGTGTAGGATCAGTGTGTTCCGTCCCTGAAGGCAGGCCTGTCTTCCAAGCTAAGTCAAGGTTAGAAGGTTAGATTGGCATCTGAGCAGGGCTCCTTGGCTGTGTCTTGGTGAGATGGGTCTAGATCTGTCATACACAGTGACCCACTGTTGGGCAGGGCAGACTGGTCAATGTCAAGGCCCAGCCCTCACTTGGATAGGCACTGCCAGTATCTTTCTGGACCCTTTTCATGGCTAGCTGATATCTTTTCTTTAGTCTACAGAGTATTTTTAAACTTTGAATAGTTGTCAAAATTTAAAACATTAAATTTCACGTAAAAGTCTGAATTTCTACCTTCTGTTGAAAAGCCGAAGATCTGGTGGCCCTGGGTGTCATCCTGCTGAATTGAGGCTGCTACTCCCTTTAGATGAGTCATGGTTTCATTTGGCTCCAGTCCCGTTACCTCGCCCCCTAACCCACACCACTTTTTTCATTCATTATCTAGATCTTGCTTTATGGTTACAAAAAATCAATTTTATCAAGTTATAATTGCACACAACTCAAGGAACCCATTGTAAGTGTGCAGTGGTGACTTTTACCTTTTCAATTGATTGTATGATGATTTCAGACCTGCACCCCTAGAGGGCAATCTTACTCTTCCCTCCAGGTTTTTGGGGATATTGCACAGGTGTTGCCTGGTGCCCTGAACTCATTGCATCACTAGGTGTTTCAGGTGTCTGTATGGCCTTCCTGGCCTTCACTGGTGTGGCTGGGTGCTTCATGAGGGACCTCCAAGCCTCTACTCTTTCTACCAAACTCAGTTAATTTCTAGGCTTAACTATAGAAGGGCTCTTTTGAAAAATTGCTAATTATTAGATGTTTAGAAAATTAATAAAGTGTAATAACTGTTGAGTTTTACTTGTTGAGTTCTACCATATGCCAGGAGATGTGCAGAGTCATTTTAAATAGCTTGTCTTCAACCCACATGAGCAAGTTGTTCCATTTTATAGCCAAGGAAACACAGACTCAGAGAGGTCGAATGACGTGCTGTGGTAGGGAAGAGGTTTTTTTTGTGTGTGCGCGTGCATTTGTGTGTGTGTGTGTGTGTGTGTGTGTGTTGGGGTGTGATTGGTGGCCCAGAGAAGGATGTGTTCAGGCCTCGGGTGTGGGTAGCAAAGCTTCCTCCAGGGCAGAATGCTTGGCCAACTCTGGTGGGTTATGGGAAGTTTTATCAGGTGGAGGTGGGGGTAGGGTTGGGGAGGACACTCCAGGTAGAGGGTATTAATAGCATGCACAAAGGCACAGAGGCACAAAACAGTCTGGCTTCAGAGAGAGCTGGAAATGAGACTGCTCAGTAGTGATGGGGAGGATGATGGTTTCCTGTGAGACCAGAAGAGCTGGGGCCTCTGACGCTTTGCCTGGGTGTTGGCTTGAAAGTCAAGAGTATTTTTAAGCTTTGCCCTGAGAAGTTATGGAGAGACATCTCAGTGTTTTCCACACACACCAGAGCAGCTCTCAATTGGTTGTGTTTGCTTTGGCTTTGGGGTCAGATTTCTTTCAAAGAGAGGATTTCTTGGCCAGAAAATTTAGTTATCCACTGCTGTCAAATGGGGGCTGTTGAAGGACTTTGAGCAGGGGTGTAACTTGACCAGACCATAATCTGGCAGCTCAGAATTGGATCAACTGGAGACAGGTGACCCATTAATTGTACACAAATTCTGTCCCTTGATCTGTGACCTGCAAAATGTGATGCTGTTTATGTTTAGTAATTGAAGATGTCTGGCCCCGTTTCCTATCTCCTCCTGCTCCACTGAGCTGAAAGAACAGCTTAGAATTAATATTTAAAATTTTTCTCTTTTAGACTGATTGAGGAGTTGAGGCTGTCTTTGAAGAGCAAAGAAGCTTTAATACAGTGCCTTAAAGAGGAGAAATCTCAGATGGCATCTCCTGATGAGAATGTGTCATCTAGAGAGCTCCAAAGACTTTCTGCTGCTCAGAAGGAAGAAAAGGAGAGAGAGTCTGAGGTGAGGCAACAGTGCCTGAAGGAGGGCTGGTGGTGTGTACAGTACTTACTCTGTGGGCAATAGAATGCCCTTCAGTCTGCATGGTCCACACCCAGTGTGTTTCCAGATATGAGTTCCCTGTCAGTTGAGGGATCAGTGGAAATACTTTGTTAGGATCCTGGCTCCCCCCACCCCCAAGTCTCATGTTTATACAAAGAGTTTGTTTAAAAAAACAAAACAGGCCTGTGCCTGCATGCCTCTGTTTCACCATGTGTTTTGTCCTTGGGGCCTTTGTAGGATGAAATTGAGGCGTATTGCACATACCCATTTTTTCCTTATGGTTAGAAGCAGGCTTAAGGCCACCTTTGGTATAAAACTTGGGAGGCAGTGGGGGAAGGGAACAAACCTGTATTGGGCCTAGAAGCATTTGACAGGCCCAGTGTACCACCCCATCCAGTTCTCCCAGCCACTTGGCCATGTAGCTGAATTCACCCCCGCCACCATTTTCCTTTATCCCCTCTCCCCCGTTCCTAGAATAGGTTCAACAACTCTCATTTTTACATTTACATACATGTGTACACAGTATTTGCACCATATTCACCCCCGTCCCATTGGTACCAATCCCTCAGGCAGACCTGGTCTGCCCTTCTGTTCTCTGTTTTTGTATGAAAAAATGACATTTTTGTTTGTTTGACATAATCGTGCATTGGTTTCCTTGTGACATTTCCAGGTGCACATGTATCATAACCTGAACTGATTCATCTTTACTATTTCTCTCCTTTCTACCTTAGTTCCTTTCTTTTCAGCTCCCTGCCCTGTCCTCTAGTAGGCTCCGTTAATTTTGTTCTGCAGTGTCTTCATTTAATCTCTAGTGATCAACCATGTTGCTTGTCTTCAAGTTTTCTTTACTCACACCAGGTGGGACTTTGGGTGTGGCAGAGAAAAGGAGGGGACACTTGTTTTGATGAGTTTCACAGTGGTGGGAAAGTGAGTAAATGAGGTGTTCCCTGTAATTGTTCTGGGGAAGCCTTTTATCATGGATGACATCTTTTCTGGTCATCTACTAATACCTTTCCGTAGGCTGCACAAGTGGAGCACCAGAAGGAGAGAAATCACTTCAAAGAGAGGATTCAGGTATGTTGATACAATTAAAAAATTTATTGAAGATTTATCTTGTTCTTGCCTCTCATTTTATTCTGAGTGCAACAAATAATTCTATGTGTAATAGCCATCATTCACCTGAACGCTGTTGCGAGCCAGTCATGCTTTTAGGCACATTAGAGGGAGTTTCTTAGCTTTTGCAATAACTGTGGAACAGCAATTCCCATTTTGTAGATGGGGTGTCTGAGGCTCAGAAAGGTAGGGTCACTTGCCCAAGGTCACATAACTGGGAAGAAATACAGTAAGGGTTCAGAACTGCCAGTCTGATTCGAAAGCCCATGTTCCATGGTCCCCTAGTCAAAATCACCAACATTTGTTCAGTGCCTGCCAGCCTAGAAAGTGCTTCCATATCCGTTATCTCATTTGATCCTCACAGCAGCCCAGGAGGGAGGCAGCAATGATTATCTTCAGAAGTGAACTCAGACTATAAATGTATGGTTCAGTCTACATCAAACCAAATTCTCTGCAAGCTTTTTTAGCATTAAGGAATGAAATTAATGACCTGTTATTTCTCCCCAAATAACCTGGTACCATTTCAAAGACTCTGATGTGACTGTATTCAAATTTTAGAATGCACTGGAGTCCTTCTCATAGGAATAGCTGTCATCTTCTCAACCGATCTGATCCCCTTCCCTTCACCCAGTCCTGTTGCCATAAGCAGTAACACAGTAACTTGGAGCTGATGCCACTATGTTCAGCTCGACTTGGAAACATTAATCACAGGTTGACAGGAATAAGATAGAATAACTGCATTTGAGTGTGCTTTTAAAGATATATTTACAGTGCATTTTGGTTGGAACGCATCAACTTAGTGAATCTTTTTCTAACCTAATTTAGGCACTTCAGGAGGACCTGAGAGAAAAGGAAAGAGAAATTGCCACAGAGAAGAAAAATAGTTTAAAGAGGGATAAAGCCATTCAGGGCTTAACCATGGCATTAAAATCAAAGGAAAAAGAGGTATGTCTGATACACTTGAAGTGAGACTTTTTTTAAATTAGTTTCTGTGACTGGCCTGTCCTACCCTGAGTTTTTAGCTGTAGATAAAAAGTTCATAAGAGGACTGAGATAGAATAGAAAGTAGGGAAAGGACCCTTTAGACAATTGGAAATTCTTTTCAAGTATCTAAAAATGAGTTAAATACATAATTTAAGATTTTCTAATAACCACATTAAAAGAAATATAAAGAAAGATATAAAACTAAATTTTAGTAGTATGTCCAAACATTATATAAATATTATCATTTCAACATGTAATCAATAAAACAGAAGTAATAATGAGATATTTAGCATTTTGTTTTTACTTCTCCAGGTGTTTGAAGTTCAAATGTACTTATAGCACATCTCAGTTTAGACCTTTCATGTGACTAGGGGCTGTCCTACCAGATAGTGCAGATTGAATCTTTTGAAGGACAACAGAAAACTGAGATAAGGAGTTTTGGTAGGTAAGGTCATGACTAAGCCAGGTAGGAAGCTACCTGGTTTGTGGCTGATGGCTGCTTTCTTGTCATTAGTATAGCAATCTGTTGTGTCCTAGTGACTATGCTAGGCCCTGACTCAGAGAAGAGACCTGGCTCTGCTTGCTAGACAGAGTGAAGGGCATTGTGATTAAGGGAAGTGCAGGGGCTGGGATGCAAAGGAAAGGGGATTCGATTCAGAGGATGGATGTGGGAGCAGGGAGCCTTGCTTAGAGGAAAAGGTGGTTGGGCTGAGTCTAAAAGGATGAGTAGGAGATGTAAGCTGGGAAGGGAGACAGAGATGGGGAGCCCATTTGGACAGAAGGAGACACTGTTCAAAGGCCTTAAAGTTAGAAGAGAGCCTAATATGCATGTGTGGCACACAGATGGTTTGGAGTTGCCAGAGCACAAAGTACATAACTTGAGTAAGGTGAGAAAAGAAGTTGTACCAGTTGCAGGGGTTAGCTGGGATTGGGGACTAATCACACTTAGCTGCTCAGGTGGTACACCACTGAGCAGGAGCAGTGCGGTCACATTTTCTCTGTGGAGAGAGCTCTGGCTCTATCTGGTGGAGAGTGACTGTAGGAGGGAGAGAAAGGAGGTCAGTAACTTAGGTGAGAACCAGGAAAAGACTGAATTAGAGCAGTGGTCACAGCAAGTGAAATGGACAGAGAAGAGGTACTCAAGAAGTAAGACTAGAAATAATTAAAAATTAGAAATAAAGTGGGGGATTCTGATAATTGATTGTGGGACTTCAGAGAAGGAGAAGTCAAGGGTGACTCTAGGTGTCTGGCTTGTATAACTGGGGACTCAGTTCAGTGTAGCGTGACAGTGAAATGGGGCAGTGGTGGAGAGCATGAGTCTGTTTAGAAGGCACTGACAGACTCTCCAGGTAAGTTGTCCAAGACCAGAGGGATGTACAAGTCTAAAGCTTATAGAGCGTGCCAGTCTGAAGAGATCTCAGACTCACTCAGATCAGGTCTGAGTTTAAATTCTGAGAGTCGATCAGTGTACCCAAGAAGAGTGTAAAACGGGAAGGAAGGAGGCTGAGGTTGGGACTGTAGGGGATATCCGAACTTCAGGATGGGCCAGGAATGTGCACAGACAGTAAGACTGGTTTCAGAAGTAGGAAACTGGTGCAAGGGTTTGAATAACTACCACCAGTGTCAGATGCAGCAGTGATTTGGCTCAAAATGTATTGGAAGTTGGGGCCCAGCTGAAGTAGGCCTTCAATGTGTTGTGGTAGTGTGGTGGAACAGTTCTGGGTGCTGGCAAAGTCCAGGGAGTGATGGTAGAAGTTTATGACTGACTCCAGGGTATAGGAGGCCACTAGAAAATGAGGAATTCTGGGACTAGCTAAGCTAGGTTATCGAGTGGGTCATCTATATGGACAATAATAACAGTAACACTTGCTATACATTATATCCTTTAGCCCTAACCATACTATAGTTGGATGAGTGGCAATGCCCTCATCTTACAGTTGAATCAGTCCATCTTTCATTACTATAATGGAATATTGGAGGCAGGAAAACGTTGAAAAGAAGAAATTATTTCCCTCATAGTTTTAGAGGCTGAAAGTCCAAGAGCTCACACAGTCCCATATGTTTAGTCTCTGATGAAGGTCTAATGGCAGTTTGTGGGAATGCAGGCGAGAGGAAGAGATCACATTGCCAAATGAAGCCAGAGAGATGGGGTCCTAGACACAGTTGCAAGAACAGGCTCCTAGCTGACCCAAGGATTCCCTCTAGGCTTTGCCTCTTGAAGATTGCATCTCCCAACCAATATTGGATGGGAGATGCAATGGATAACCAAGCTTCCAACACATAGATCTTTGGGGGGACATAAACAATATCCAGACCCATAGCAACAGTTGAGAATGGAATTGAGTTTCAGAGTGGTTAAGCCATCCAGCTAGTAAATAGCTACTCAGGTCTTTTCTGACTACAAAGCCTGACTATAAGCACTACACAATTGAGCAGGAAAAGCATTTGGTCTGAGCAGAGAAGAGAGCTCAGTTGAGTCTTAGCTGCTGTTCTTTATTTTCCCAGGTTGAAGGACTTAATGCTGAAATTGAAGAGCTTAGTGCAGCCTTTGCTGAAGCCAGAGAGGCCTCCCAGAAAACACAAACCCCAAAATTCCAGGTAAAGAGTTTGATCCTTGTTCCTGGTGAGGTCAGGACTTTGTCGATGTAGGGAACCTGGTGTTTTTAATAAGGAGAACTGTGGGTGGTCTTTACTGCTGAAATTAACTGAGTCTAATTATAGGGAAATTCTCCACCAGCTTTGGGAGCTTCTCCAGCCCTTTCTCAGTATGATAATGATGACAAATGCTCCCACAGTTGCTGAATTTAATCTATGCCAAATATTAGAAAGTGCAGGATATGTGGGTTATCTAATTTCATCCTCCAGCCATGTTGGGAAGGTATTTGTGAGGGTCTTGAGGCCCAGTGAGGGTGTGCAGCTTATCCAGTGTCACAGAGCTAGCAAGTGTCAGGGCTAGTATTTGAATGTAGCGTTTGCAGGTAACAGCAGTCATTTACTGAACATGTACTTTGTGCCAAGCCCTACTAAGTGCTCCCCATAGATCATCTCATTTATCTGTATAACACTATGAAGTAAGCACCATTAATATCCTTGTTTTATTGCTGAGGAAAACCAAGATTGAGAGTCAAGTGACTTGTTCAGGGTTACAAAACTAGTAAGTGGTAGATCTAGGATATGATTCCAGAGCTGGTCTCACTCTAAAGCCTGTGCTTTCACCTGTCATCCAGAGCCCCCCACCCCCGGCAACTTGGCTGCCTTGTCCTACTTGCTCCAGCCTGAGTTTCTGATGTGCTTTTTTTTCTTTTTCTACCCATGACATGTACTGCAAAGGACTCCACTGGGTATCTTCTTGATTTTCTTTCTCTTTTCCTAATTTTAGTTGTAGCTTTTAATTATTCTAGCATTTTCTTCCATGTTTGTAGTTTTCCTATATAGTTTATATACTTATTACTAATAACTTAATGAACTGCCAAAGTTCCATCATCAAAATAAGCCCATATTGCTTAAAGCTCTCCTCCCAATGTTGCTTTTGTGGCAAAGTAGAAGTTAGACATTAAATCTTATTTAAGACTGATTGATTGCTAAGATTCATATCTTGTGCCTTATCTTTGTTTTGCAGAACTTTGGTTCACAATAAGAATAATTAAAATAATTTGGTTTAAATCATGGATACTAGGATCATGGACAAATTTCTGCTTTTGGGATCTTAGGCTTGCCTCCTCCCACTGTTTTGATGATGGTTGATGAAATTGAGTTGAGATACATTTTATACTTTTTTTTTTGCTTATAAAATAACAAGTTTTATAAGCAAAATTCTTAGGAAAACCTCCTTTGCTTAAGAATGTTGACAGTTGATAACCAGAGAGACCAGATATCCATATATGTTATAATATTTTACTTATTATGTTGGCCTTGAAGGAAAGACAGCAGTCTTGTAAATTTAAATGTTACCCAGATTTGTCACATACATTTATTAATTCAGTGACTTTTAGTCCTAGTCAAAAGACTAGAGGAATGATGTTTGAGGTTTTGTAGTGCAGTGTTGGCTGGGTTTCTTATCTTGCATTCCACAGAGATAGGAACTGTGTGTCAGATTGACTGTTTGGAGAACCTTCACTGAATCCTCATCCAAGAAGGAAGTGTGTTTGTGAACTTTGCAGAGAGTTTGCAGCAGAATTCATACTCATGTTGTTTCCAAAACCTGTGTGCTTTCTACTGTGTGTGTGTGACTGTACATAATATGTTTATATTGGCTATTTCATCTGAGGTATACATAGTTTGAATGTTGCACTGACTTGTACATGTATTTCTTTCATATATTGGGACCTTTGGGGATATCACATGATTTGAACTAATGGCAGCATGAATAAAAAAACCAGAGGTCACAGTGTCGACATCAAGCTTGACACTGAAGCAACAGGAAGTGATATTTCAACTCTAGTAGTGTTTGTCAAAGTTCAGAAGCACAGAGACATGGCTTCTTATCACAAGCGTGATTCTATGCAGGTTAAATGAGTATGGTGCTCCTCCATACCTATTTAAAATTATTTGCAGGTTTGCAATGGCACCCCCCTCTAGCTATAAAAGTAAAAATACACATTGTAGGAAATATATGAAATATTTAAAGTAGTAGAAAAAGGTTGATAGGAATAACCAATAGGCTCACTTCTAAATATGTTCATTATTAACACCATGATTCTTTTATGCATATTTATATGAATGTGCATATAAAACTTTAAAACGTTAAATGGAATCATCATATATATTTTTATTTTAATTTTTTTTTAAGACATGAGGTCTTGCTATGTTGTCCAAGGTAGCCTGGAACTCCTGAGCTCAAGTGATCCTACTGCTTTGGGCTCCTGAGTAGCTGGGGTCTCAGACATGTGCTACTGCATGTGGCCATCATGTTTTTTGTTCTGTAACCTTTTCTTTGTCTAACATTCTTGCCATGGCAGTACTAAATCTTTTTGTCTTTTCTTAGACTTTTTGAGATAATTGTTGATTCATATGTAGTAGATTTCTATGTATTCTTTACTCAGTTCTTCAAAGATAACATCTTCTCCCAAATCATGCAGCTAAAACTGTGTTCTTGAACTCAGGGCTTTCTGACTCTTTATTAAAACTCATCTTATTTTTACAGTGGGCAACAATGGTTTTTAGTATTATATTTTGCCTTCCGTTTCTGATCACATTCTGATTGGTCAAATATTTGCCAGTTGGGCATTACTCAGAAAAAGCCATCTAGGGAAGTTTTTCAAAGGGCCACTTATGGAAAATTTAATATGGAAAGTGTTTTATGAAGTGAATAGAATCTGTGCATTGGAATTCTTTGAGCTTGGAATTTTTAAGAGGCTCTGCCATCGTTAGTTATGTGATAATCCTGCAGAACTTTCACCACTTGATAAAACTGTTAATAACCATGTTTAACAAGCCCCTAACTGATGCTCCTGTCTCTGACTTCCTCCAGATTCACTCTCCTTGTTTTCATTCTTGCTGGCTTATTGTGTTAATTGGAATCTTTACTGCTGAGGGCAAGGCAGTGCAGTGCTGTGGGAAGAACATAGGCTCTGAGTCATTTGAATCCCAGATTTCATCATGGGGGGTTTGTTGACAGTCTATTCATTTAGCAGTTCTGAGGCTCAGTTAATGAGCATGATAATGAGTACTTTTTGGGTATTAGAAATAGAGATATAATGTGTGTGGAAGTGCTTAGTTTAACTTCTCTTGTATAATCCATGCTTAACAAAAGGGTAGGTATAAATATTGTTCAAAATAAGCATTTCCCAATCATTGTTGACCTTTTGTTTGTTGAGTTTATTTCAGTACTGCCATAGATAATAAAAAAATTGGTCTTGTGATTAGGTTTCCTACTTCTTTTCATTTATTTTAAAAGAAACAAAACCAAAAGCTTTCATAAACTGATGTTGGAATTTGAATGGTGTCCCCCTCATTTCATGTTTCTGTGTTCTAAATAACAGTTAGGAAGCAGAGGGCTAGGTGTCTGGGCTTTAGGTGACTGGAGAACAGAGAGAAGCCCCCACGTCAGCTGTGGCTGTAGTGAACAACTTGGTTAACAACCTGAACAACTAAGACCATCTGGAGATGGGGGTGGAGATGGATTTCATGAAAGGCCAAGAAACTGGGGCCTTTCTTCAGCTGGGATTTTATCTTTGACAACTCAACTGTCATTCATTTTTGAATTCTTAATCTTGATTCTCAGTCTAATTGAAAGAGTAGCCATACAAATCTTTTTTTTTTTTTCGTGATTAGAAATATTACATATACTTCAAATCGTCTTTTAGAAAGAGCACCTGCCTAGCAAGTGCAGGGCCCTGAATTCAGACTCAGTACTACTTTAAAACAAACAAAAAACTAGAAGAAAAAGAATGAAATCTGGAAGTCATCTAACACCAATATCACCATATATTTTTTTTAACATCATTTACAATTTGGTCTTTTGTTTTCATATAACATTGTAATTTAGAAATATTACTATGTTATTAAGTCTTTATAAATACAGTTTTATGTTTTCACTGTATATCATATACTTTATTTTGTGCTATTATTATATTACTGCATATTTAGGTTGCTTTTTTATTGTTATAAGTAATTCTAGATGAATGTCTTCGTACATAAAGTATCCTACTATATTTTGTATTCTTCTGAGATTGAATCGTCAGAGTGGAATAGCTGGGATGAGTGTGAACATGCTTATAGTACACACATACACTTGATACATATTGCCTGTCTATAGAGGATTATATTAATTTACATTCTTCCCAACGTATTTCCTGGGTTCTAGGTGCTTGGCTAGTTAGTTCCTAAAGAGTGAATATGAATCAAACCATTTCACAAGCTCTCCAGCACTAAGTATTCTTTTTAAAACAATCTTACTTTGATAACTGAGAACTTGTTTTAATTTTCTCTTTTTGATTCTTGATGGTTTAGAGTGTTTTTTCATATGCTTGATGGTCACGTATGTATTTTCTCAGGTGAATTGTGTGTTAATGAAATAAAGATGTTCTTGACACCTTTAGCTTGTGGACTTTACTGAAGCCATACCCTTTCAAGGAAGCCTTTGAACTACTATCATTTCACTCCTTTCTTTTGAGGCGTCTCAGAGTTTGAGCCATCCTAACATATGTGAACATTGTTGGCGCTTGTATCCAGTGCTGCTTTTCAAATGAAGTTCTTCATTTTCTACTTTTTTTTCTTTGCAATATTAGGAGTAACCCAGGGCACAATAGTTAAGCACTCTACTACTGAGCTACACTCCCAGCCCATTTTTTTTTTAGGGCTGGGGATCAATCTAGGGCCTCCTGCAACTAGGCAAGCCCTGTTTTCTACCTTTTTAATGTGACCTACTTGTTTTTTTAGACACTAAAAATAACATGCCCACTTATCTTAGATCATTTGAAAATACAGAGAAATGAAGAAAAAAATAAGCTACATTCCCACCCCACTGAAGTCAGTTACTCTTAATGTTTTGTACTTTTCGCTCTGGTGATTTAAAAAAAAAATACTTATTTTACACTACTGTGGGCTTTCCACCTTCATAACAGCAGCATAACAAACATTTTCCTGTGTTACTTTAGAGCTTTCTATTCCTTGTGCTTGAATGTTGTTTATGTTAATCTTTTTCTTTTCCTCTTCCCTCCCCCACCAAGGTGACAAAACAGTCTTCTGGGTGTGTTTACTGAGGTGGGAAAATCAGCTCTGCCCACCTCCCTTCTCTTGTAGGAGTCTGAAGACTATCAGGCTGCTCTGACAGAAAAGGAAGCCCAGTTGGCCAAGTTGCAGTCAGAGAACCTCACCAAGACCACAGAGAACAACAGGCTGCGGAGGAACATTAAGAAGGTGACCCAGGAGCTGAGCGACCTGCAGCAGGAGAAGGAGCGGCTGGAGAGGGACCTGGAGGAAGCCTATCGGGAGGGGAGCAAAGGAGCCCGTAGCACCCATGTGAGTGTGCAGGCCCTTCTGACTTTGGCGGGGCAGGGGACATGTGATCACTTCTGATCAAGGAGATACTCTGTTCAGAAAACTTAGAAAAAGCTAAAGAACGCATTTCACTCATTGTCACCTCGCCTAGAAATGGCCAGTCTTAACTAGTTGACCTTTCAGTCCTTTTATCTTCTTCCCCTTTCCCCTCTCTCTCACTCACTTTTCATATCAAGTTGAAAATAGTTTTGTATATTGCTTTATTTACGTAGTTTTATTGTTGGGTGTGTTGCTGTGTCATGAATGCTCTTCAGAAACGTTGTTTTGGTATCAGTATACTCCATCCCTTAGATGCTCTGTAATTTAACTAGCCTGTTATTATGTAGCATTGGATTTTTTCAATTTTTTTTTTTTTTGCCTTGAGCCAATGCTGCAGCAAATATCATTTTAAAGTTAGGTGGAATAGCTCACTACTGTAATCCTAGCTGCTTGGGAGGCAGAGATTGGGAGGATCTCAATTCCAGACCTGCTCGGGCAAAAAAGCTAGCAAGATTATCTCCACCAATATGTTGGGTATGGTGGTATATGCCTGTTATCCCAGCTCTGTGCAGGCATAGGTAGGAGGGCCGCTGCCTGAGGCTAGCCCTGAAGGCAAAAACTGGGGGCACCCTATTACACAGACGTGCTATTTGAAAAATAACCTAGAGCAAAAGGTATACTTGTGGCTGAAGAGCCAAGTGCAAGGCCTGGAATTCAAACCCCAGTACCGCCCAACAGAAAACATCATTGTACATAAATATTTATCAATACACTGATTATTTTTATAGAGGTTTAATTACTGAGTCAGAAAGTGTGAATATTTTAAAGGCTATCTTATAGCCATACTCAATTGTTCTTCAAAAAGATTGTACAGGTTTCTCTCTGTGATCTTTTTTATTTATTTATTTGTTTGTTTATTTATTTATTTATTTATGGTAGTACTGGAGTTTGAACTTCAGGGATTTGTGTTTACAAAGCAGGCGCTGTACCACTTGAGCCATACCTGCAGCCCCCACTGTGATCTTTTTTAAGATTCTACTCTATTCAGCATTGGGTATTAGCATTTAAAAAATTCTCTCTAAATTTGGTGCACTTATTAAATTTCAATTACATCTAAATTTAAGCACTCAGCATCTTTTAATTTAATCCCTGCCGAGAGTCACATCCAGATACATGGCCTTGGTGTAATCAGGTAGGATAGGGTCTGAGTGGTCATTGACACTAGGTTAATAAATTACCTGTTTTGCAGCCTTTTGGTGGGCTATCATTAGAGTAGAGGGCTCAAAAAAGAGCCCGTAGGAACCATTGGGTTGTTCTCTGGGGGCTGTTGTTAGCAGTGATGCCAGGATCTGTAGGTTGTGATATCAATGTTAGCACTGAAGAGAAAATTGATGTATAAATGTTTGTGTACTTTAATAACATTTTTAATATTAAGAGAGCAGTAATGAAATTTAGAGAAATAAGAAAACGTCAGCTACAGTTCTACAACCATAGCAAAGGAACTCTTTCTGTTTTCGGTATTTCCCCCTACTTCAGGTATGCTTGGGCTCTTTGTCAAATTGTAGGCTAAATGCTACTCATTATGTTTTGCTCACTCACTCTGTCATAGGCACCTTCCATGTGGTGAAGGCTCCAGAAAGGTTGAATGGTGTACTGATAGCTTTGTGTGATTACTTAGTGATTTCCTCCATTTCCTCCTTTCTTGGGTATTTTGTCTGTTTAAATAATGCCACAATGAACATCTTTGAGCATAAAGACATTTCCTCTTGAGATTACTGGGTCATATAGTGCACATATTTTATATTGGTTATTTATGCTGCTGGATTACTAGTCCAAACGGCAGCCCAATTATGCTGCCACCAGCAGTATAGGAGCATACCAACTTGTTGCCTGCTGTTAGAAGATCCATTTCCTTTATTTGTGCAGTGTTCCTGAGTTACCAGTGTATCTGTTTTAGATGCTGATGGAAATGCTTAGGCATGACTTCTCAAGTCATGCCTTTACTTTTCTATGGGAGATGAAATGTTACACATGACAAACAGTAAAGCTCTTTAACATCTTGAGCTGAAGAATGTAACTTATGTACTCAATGCAAAAGATCAGCGGGATGGAGCAGTCAGGGAAGCCTGCCAGAAGGAGGTGAGATGAATGAAAAGAGCAAGATTGGAGTTGTGTGTCTTTATGGATGAGGTAAAGAGAAACCTGGTCAGAGGGTCCTTTTATGGAATTGTGTTTTTTCATGGTTCAACTAATATCCTTTACTGTTGGATAACATTTTTTTTTAAGTTTAAAATAATCCTCCTCCCCCACTGCCATTATAAAAAAATGTTCTATAAAATTTGGTTGTTGGGGTCAAGGAAATACATACAATTATATAACTTATTCTTGGTAAGACTTTGATATCTCTATATAACATTACATTGACTGGACATGCTGTAATGTACTTATGTATCCCAGTATTGTCAGACATTGTTAGTTCCTTAATGCACCTCATTCATGTAAATCTTGGTGCTTCTAAAAGAATTTTGGGCTGCTGTTCATAAAAAGATGCATCCTACCTCACATCATAAGGAGGTTAAATATTTGGCAAAGAGTGGAACGGGGTACTATGATGGTGGGAGGGAGGGATTGGAACGAAGTGTCCTGTGGGTAGAACTTTCTTGCAAGTGGCAGAGACCTTGTCTGAACTAACTTTGGCAACATGGAAATTGACCACCTTGTGTAACAGCTGCTGGGAAGACCTTTTCCCGCATCTGCTAACTACAGTTCCAAGAACTTGGATACCTCATTGTCAGACCTGCTGGGATCACATCTTCCCAGTTTATTGTAGAAGGGGAGAGAGGCTCGAACTCTCTACTGCCCCACTGTCTTCCTGTCAGGATGGTCAGAGAGTGAGTCACTGAGGAGCCCAGCTTGGGTCACATGCTGACCTGCTTTGGCAGGAGTGTGTACACCCATGTGTGTTTGTACCATTATTGGCAGCTCTTCTAGAGCCACGTGTTAGGAGGGAGATGAGCAGGTGCCCAGAGAAAGCAGTGTTTTGTTGCAGGACTCTGGAAAAACCAAAACAACAGCTGTGACTAAACGCTTACCTCAGATGAGCAGACCCAGGCCTCCGAGCTTCCTGCCATCTCATTGTGACTGCTTTTATATCATCACACACAGGTTTCTGACAAGACAATTTGGGTATATATCTTGTATCCCAATAGTATCTCTACTTAACTTCTGGCTATAGTCTAGGAATTTGAATGTGTCCCTGTCACAACAATGTTTCACAAAATCGTGAGGGTACTCTCTTTTTTTTGCTGGGGTATGTTTTGCTTCATGGTGCTAAGATGAGTGCAGAGGTGGAACTTAACCCACTAGTCTTGCATACATTATCAGCTTGTTTCTGTTAACCAGGTTCTTTAATTAACCATAGTACCTCCCACTTGCCAGCTGCTACTGGTGTTGCTTTTGGATTGAAATAGACAAAACCCCAGACCTTTTAGTGGTCTCCTCTTCTGCCCTTGTGGGGAAAAGGAATCCATTCATACATTCAGCAACACTGGACCTTTTGTGCAGGCTCTTTACTAGGAATGGGCACACTTCCATAACAGAGATAGGAACACACTACCACATGAGCACAGAGAAAAAAAGTGGCTTGCAGGACCAGAGAAAGCCCCCAAGACACTAGTTCTGAAGTTTGAGTTAAAGGTTAACAGACAAGGGAGAGGGGGTTTATACAGAAGCTGCAGGAGAGGATACAGCAAGTTTGTAGGAGTCTGGGGTTGTAGTGAAGGTCATTGGCCTTTTGGGACATGGCAGAAGATGAACCTGTAGAAAGCTGGCTTTCTGAGGGTCTGGGATGAAGAGTGAGGGAACAAGGTCTTGACCTCTAGGTCATGGGGCACTGTGGAGAGGCAGGCAAGCAGAGGATCGACAGAATTGAATTTACAGTTTAGAAAGACCATCTACTAGAGGTCTGGGGGATGGGTCTGGAGGGATGGATTGGGTCTGGGTCTGTGGACTCTGATTTTGACACTTTGTCTATTATGCTGTGTTGTGGCTCTGGCAAACCATCAGTAGTTATGTTAAGAAGACTGCTTTTGACAAAGGAAGATTTTTACATTCTCAGCTTTTAGCAGACCAGAATGATATGTTCTTAAGAAAACCAACCTCAAGTGTGTTCTGGTTACTTGAAGTTTCAATAAGTGTAATTTTTTCCTCCTGTGTTGCACAGACATCTATAGGCATTTATTGAAAGTCATAGAGTAAATGAAATTAAAAATAAAGATGAAGGCATTAGGAATAAGGAGAACCAAAGGTGAGTAGGAAAATGGAATCACAGTGAGTGTGTAAAAATGCATATTGCGATGCCCTTCATAGGGCTGAAGATGGGTCTTAAAATTCAGCTGGTAGCTCCTGGCAGCGAGAGTAAAAAGGGAATTCAGTTACAAAGTCTCCAGCATCTGTGAGATGAACGTGTTAAGATAAAAGGCCAGCTTTTGCTGGCACTGAGGCCTGAGGAACCACCTCTGGTGGGTTTTGATAAAGAGGACTGAACAGAGTACAGAGTCTTCAACAATACCCCATTAAGTCAAAGCAGTGCTGCACGGGGCCAGATCAATGCCGTCAAAGTCAGCGAGCTTGCAAGTATTGAGGTTTTCAGTTCCTGGGACTGGAGCTGACTGCTTCCCATTATTCTCTTTTCTTGGACAAGAGCTTCAGAATAAGTTGGAAATACTGCAGCCCGGTTTGTAGATGAGCCCTGACTTCAAGTCTGCACAGAGGACCCATAGCAAGCAGTTTTAGTTTGTGTGACATTTCCTGAATTCTGGTGGCAAGCCAACCAGTTCTCTTTTGGACGTGATCAAACCGTCCTTTGTTCATGCCAAAAGCAGTTCTTGCCAGCATCATTGTGGAAGGGAGATGATGCCTTTGCTGGAAATACAGTTTAGATACGAGGTGATGGACTCACAGTGACTGATCCTGTGTGCACA